AATCAAATGCATTTAAATTTCCCCGCCACAGCCGGGGAACAACAACTCCAAGAGAAGCCAACAAATCACCATCATCTCTCTGTAATCGTATTCCCCAACCTGTGATCAACGACATCTCACCAATTCCACTTCATGATGTCTCACCAGATCCTGCTCCAAATCTACAGTTGAATCAACTTCTACGTTCCCATCCAAATATCAATCTCAATTTTTACAATTGCTCAAATTTTAAAGTATTTGATAAAGAAAATAAGGAAAATAAGTGAATCTCGAGATCTTAGTTGAGATAGATGGGCATAACTGATTGTTTTGTTAGATTTTATTATTTAAACTATGAGTATTATTCTTGCGTTTACGTTGTAGTTTATTTCAGAGTTTCAATAAAAAATTTTCTATGAAATGATATTTCTAATATTATTATTATCAAAATTAAGATTTTTTAATAATTTATTTTTCATTTTAATTTTCAGGTGTATTTTCAAATTTAAAATTTAACAATTTTGAAGATAATGAAGGGGATTCACTGGCTGAATTTATCAGTTTTTATATGTAGTTTTATATTTCGGTACATTAACGCTGGGTGGCGCCACACGTTTTTCAGTCCTAAGGAGTGCATTTCTCACTTTTTCACTCCTAAGTAGTGCATTTCTCACTTTTATACTGCTCAACGGTAAAAAGACCTACTTCTCATGCTTAACTACCGTCGGTAAAAGAGCCCTTTTTGGGCTTGAGCAATGAAAAAAATATTTTCTTCGGCTCAAGTGAAATGTTGCATGTGTTACGAGTACGGGACTCGCGCCGCTAAACTTCGAACAGTGCCGCCTGTGGCGATATTTAGCTCTATCCTTACGAGAAGCCGATGAGAGAAACTCTCATTGCGCACCTCAAGAATGCTGGTGGAACTGCGTGCCTACTGACAGGTTAAGGAGTTATTCGTCAATAAAGCAAGAGTCCACCGCAAATGACCCTTTTTGGATAATTCATATCTCCTCTTTCACTTCGACTGGAGGAATGAAAATAATGGAAATCGATTGGGCATTTAATGGCAATAATAATAATGCCAATTTCATATTGCCATATGGAATAATGGCAATTCGATTGTTCTTCTATCATCATGCCGGGTGACAAAAACCCGTCATGAATTTCAACACGGCGTCAGAGCCATTTGGTTCCTAAACGCAATGTAACCCTAAAAATCAGAGTCAACGTAAAAACTTCATATCTGTACTCTCAGTCAATACCAAGAAGTGAAATTGATTGGAATCGATTGGACATGCAATGCCATCATCCTTCCGTCTTGAATGGGAAAGGGGGTATGATCTCTCTATTGGGGAATACCGTTATATTGGCTGCCCTTTTTTTTCTTGATAACTCATAAACAAAGCGTCGGAGACAAAAATTTAACTAGTTTTCGTCTCTAAATAACCCCCGAGCTACCCTCACGATATGCCAGATTCGTTTTGGGCCACCTTGTACACTTTTTTAACATGAACAACAAAATGTGCATTCTATTTTTGTCAGATTCATATACGTGCAATGTATTCCGAATATGATTTCATCCTAGAACCATCGTTGAACTATGTCGTTCTTTTTCTTGATTTTTAAATTTGATGTGGCGATAGATAAATCATCTCATTAGTGGAAAAATCCATAAGTGATTTTATGAGTTTCATATGTTTGAAAAATGTGCCGTTCCTTTCATTTCCCTGGAGGAATAATGTTGTGTAAGAAGGATTTTCCAATACACTGAGAGAAAAATAGACATAATATGACAAAAATAATTTCTTGAGTGGTGAACCTCGCATGCATATTCGATCAATTCATGGTAAGTTTCAGACAACAAATCTGTGCTCTTCGGGCTAAAGGTGGATGATATTGAATGAAAAAAATGATTTTTTTTTCTGGAAATTGTATAATATTCCTGAAGACACAAATTAAGGATGTCTAGCCAGTGTCGGTAAATGTGTTTTTTTTCATGGTTAAAGAAAATTCTGTAATTTTTTCGGCTGATACATATAAAACTAACTTTTCTAACGTTAAAAAAAAATTAATCGCAATAGTCTCGGCAGAAATGAATAAACTAGATTTTCCTTATACACGGGCTCTTATGAAATTTATGTTCAGATTGATAATTCACCTACTAGAAGACGCTAAAAATAAAAATAGAAGGTAATGTGTAAAATCATACTGAATCCAATGGCCAGAGAAAAATCTGGGGTACCCGCGCAAAAAGAGGAAATATTTGAATGATTCTGTCCCATATAAGCGCATGTTAGCACATTTCTAAATAATGAACATGGGTTGGTAGATTGAAATTTGTATCAAAGTGAAGGGAATATCTTCATCTCTCAGTTGAAAAAAAATCAATTTTTTCCAAGTACTTGCGATTTTAGATAAACATCCTTAAGTTTGAGAAAAGAAAAAGATGTTATAGCTATCCTTCGAACTCATTGCGATTAAGAGCAAGTGACGGTTATATTTAAAAAAAAATCTAAAAGTTCTCCCCTACATAAATTCTGTATTCATTCAATATGAAACTCTCTGATCCATGATTCACTGAATCGGAGCTTTTACTATTTTCAGTAATTTTCTCATCGTTTGACACGAAATAAACGATTTCTCGAGGCAAGAAATTTTCACTTTATCGCCGAGTGTTCGTGTTCAAGTCGTGAATATTTCACAGTATTACACGGTCTAACTTATTATGCGGAATTGTTATCCCAAGCATTTTATTCTTAAGAGATGAGATATTTGACGCAACAAATTCGTTTTGTGATATTATGTTGCTATTTCTCTCAGTGCACTTGTCTTTAATATTGTTGAACATCAATAATCAAAAACATCGTCTTGAGCCTCCTTTTTCGCCGAATAAATCGATCATTGCGTGCAAACCATTGGGATTCGCTCAAGGGCATCCTTCCCGTTAATGCGTCCACTCGAAATACTCCCCCCCAAAATCCAATTCGTGGTTTGATCATCAATAGCTTCTAACACACTAATGCTTGAATTGCGTGTCTCAATCAAGGTTCGACATTCTCGTCAATGGCGGAGGAGCTGTGACACTTCAGTTCCAACGCAACCCGTTCAAGCCCCTGACGAGGACTGTATTTGTACCGTGGAATCAAATTGTCGTACTGCCACCAGTGGTAATGACTCTTCCCGACGAAGGCGAATCCTATAAATCCAGTCAGCCGCCAACTCCAGCTGTTGGTAAGTACCCCTCTGAGCTTTTCCACTCGTAACCGACAAATCCTCCACTGTCTTTAATGTCATTTATTCTATTTACGTTGATTATTTTTCACCATCTGCTGAATCCTCCTGGCTTCAACCACTCAAATAACTTCTATTAAATAATTCACTCTTGCACACCGAGAGAAATATTCAGTAAAAATTACAGAACAATTCACGTAATCCGCATTGGGGAATCTCTTTTGGAATTTTTTAAGGGAATGGACGGGAAGAAATCTGACGCGTTCATCACCGAACAAAGTACGACATTGTCACGTAATTTTTCCCGAAGAAATAAAATCGTACAGAACCTTCCCTACCTATTATGCCTCCAAAATAAAAAATTTTTGAACGTTCAACAATTTTTATGAAGCTGGTGAATTATTTCTACATTTTGTTCCGTTAAATTTCTCAATCGTTGGGGAAAAATTACGGAACGACTTGCTGTCCCCACAGCGGTGAATCATTAGGCGGCTGGTTAATTTTACAAAATAAATCCGACTCACACTTTTTATCGAATTTTACTTCGTTCGCGTAATTTTTATTGAATTTTTCTCTCCATGCAAACCTCCTTCCCTGAGACTCCATTAACCATTTTCAATTAGTTTCTCTTTGAGTTTTTCCTATTATTTATTAAATAAAATATAAACAGGATTTCCAGGGATATCAATGGGACTGCTGGGGGATCATGGGCCCTGTATGGAACACGATCATGAAACAGTGAGGCCGATTATCGTGGGCACTTGGATGCCGGACAAAGTTGGAGGTCTGCCAGGAAAGAGCTTGGTGTTTGCTGAGTCACAGGTAAAAAAGGAACCAATCTCAACTCCAAGCAAATACCAAACAACTGCTAACTAAACATGTTCCCCCTATTAGATCGTTCAAGAGAGTATTTCCATTCCGGGCTCCAACGTCTACCTCATGTACCAGAGCAATCGAGCAGCAGGATACCTGTCAACCGTCAGAATGCAGCTGACAGGCTCCTTCATCCCCGAGTCTCTGACTCATGTCCACGTGCACGTTGAGATCGAGGGGTCAGTCCATACGAAAACATACGAGGCAGATCCGAACTTGACGCACACCTTCGCCTGGAACAAGCGGAACGTCTACAAGCAGAAAGTCTACGGAGTGGCCCAAGCCAGAATATCCATCGGCTACCAACACTCGACGTGTCCCTCAGTCATCTGGGAGACGCAAACAGCAGCCCTCCAGGGCTTCGACGTCGATATATCGGACGTGGGTGGCTGGGGCCTCGACATCCACCACCACTACAACTTCCACGAGGGCATCCTCCAGAAGGGCGATGGTTCCACCCTCCACTTCAAGCAGTACCCACGAGCAGTGAAAGTGGTAATGGGCACAGGCCTCCAACGAGGTCTCGTCTGTCAAAACTGCGAGGGTCGAGCCACCGACGCACGCCTCCTGACCCCAGTCGCCCTAGCAAGCGGACCAGATGGTAGCATCTACGTCGGGGATTTCAACCTTGTCCGTCGAATAACGCCCGATGGGAATGTTCGCACAGTATTGATCCTCAGTGCCACACAAGTGGCGTACCAGTACTATCTGTGTGTCTCCCCAGCAGACGGACATCTCTACATAAGTGACCCCGAGAAACATCGTATACTCAAAGCCTTATCCCTGGATGATGTAACCGACCCGAGTATCAATATTGAGCCAGTTGTTGGCAGTGGTGAGCGTTGCATACCAGGTGACGAGGGACACTGCGGTGATGAGGGTCCCGCAATACTAGCCAAATTGGCACATCCCAAGGGTATAGCCATTGCCGCTGACAAAACAATGTATATTGCTGATGGTACAAATATCCGAGCAGTCGATCCAAATGGAATTATTCATACTCTGGTGGGTCATCATGGCCATCACAATCACTGGTCACCGGCTCCCTGTGTTGGAGCTATTCCAGCGCATTTGGCACAACTGCAGTGGCCAACTGGCCTTACCCTCAGCCCTCTCGATGGATCCTTGCATTTTATTGACGACAGACTGGTTCTCAAACTCACGAGTGATCTTAAAGTCAGGGTTGTTGCTGGAACACCTCTACATTGCACAAGCAGTGCTAACAATGCAATGGCCAAATCGAATTCAACGAGTCTCATTGTAAAGAAGCCCGACGAAGTACTTGGGTCTGTTCTTGCAGTTTCTTTCAGCCCTACTGGGGCACTCTACATCGCTGCTTCCGATTCTCACAGGGTTAATTCTATCAGAGTTGTGGATTCTTCTGGGAAAATGTCGCATTTTGCTGGGAAACAGCAGGAGAGATTGAGACTCTGCGAGTGTAACAATACTACACCCAGTTCAAAGAATCTGGACGCGTGTGCCTGTAACGATGAGGGAAATAACTCCGAGACTCTGTTGTCGTCAAACACCAAGTTTACGGCTATTTCAACACTGACTGTAGCACCTGATGGGGTGCTTCACGTTGCCGATCAAGGAAGTCTTCATATTCTAGCACTGAAGCCTTATTTGCCCGCACACGACGAAAGTGGAGAGTATCACATACCCTTTCCACCGTCAAACGAAATTTATGTCTTCAATCGTTATGGACAGCATGTAGCTACTAAAGATTTAACATCCGGCAAAACTAGATACTCATTCCTCTACAGCAAGAATACGAGTTTCGGTAAATTATCAACAGTTACCGACAGTGCTGGAAACAAAATAACATTCCTACGAGACTATTCAGGGGTTGTCAGTTCAATTGAGAATACCCAGAACCACAAATCCGAGTTGAAAATCTCAGCAGTCGGTTTCTTGGTGAAATTATCCGAAACCGGTAGATCTGAAATTGCATTCGATTACGATAGCGGTGGTACTGGTCTATTGACATCACGGTCTGGTGGTGGTGAGACCTTCATTTACAACTACGACAGTTTGGGACGAGTTTCCGAGGTAATTCTACCAACTGGTGAGAAGATAAAATTAATTTCCAGCCTGTCTGACGACGAAGGGCTATCAGTTAAAGTTGAGGCACCACTTCAGGCACTCGCTAAAACTGGAAAAAATCGTGTGATTGAGTTTAAAATGAGAACAGAGAGATCCAACATACTTACGATAACTGATGGTGCTAAAGTTAAAAAAGCAACGTCATTTACTAATAGCAGTTTGGAAATACTTTTACCAGGTGGTGGTAGAGTCTTGAGTGCAGCCCTGACAAAGCATCCACTGTTGGAATCAACATTGCCAATTGAAGCGGAAATGCTACCGATGTGGAGTTATCAAGTGTTAACACTCGGTGAATTAACGAATACAATGACAACTTCGTATAATCTTGTTGGTGACAGTAGTCACCTTCAACAGACTTTAAATCGTGAAATTTGGGTCAATGATTCACGGGTGATTGGTGTTGAATTTGAACAGGCATTCAGCCGTGAAACATTTTACGATAAATACAGAAATCCCCTGTTGACCGTGACATTTGATCCAGCTGGATTGCCACTGATTTGGCAGCCATATGAGCACGGACACAGTGTGAATATAACGTACGATAGGTACAATAGAATTGAGAGATGGAGGTGGGGTGCGTCTGATGAATCCTACAGTTACAATGATCTCGGTGGTCTTGCTGCTATCACCAATAGCCAAGATGGTACACGTAAATTCACGTACAATGAGTTTAATATGCTATCAACGATAACACTGGCCAGTGGTCGTCAATACTCATTGGAGTACGATGAGAATGGCGGGCTTAGGCATATCATTCTACCAGCTGATACCAAACACTCCTTCTCGTGTCAGGCATCGCTTGGCTTTCTTCGTGTCACATATACACCACCGGGCAGTACACGTGCTTACTTGCAGCACTACAGTCACGATGGCAATTTACTGCAGACTGTGTTTCCTGGCGATGGAGCAAGAATAGTCTACAGGTATCATCCTTGGGGTCAATTGTCGGAAATTGTCCATGGGGATGGTAAAAGTGAGATTAGGTACACTGAGAGTGGACTGCCGTCCGAAGTTATACACACGGAGAAGGATGTTGAGTACAGGTGGGATTATCAGTACAGTGCTGGACTTTTGGTTGAGGAGAGAATAGACTTTGGTGCTAAAACCGGTCTCAGTAATGCCAAATTCACGTTTGATTATGACTCGAACTATCGGTTAATTGCTGTTCAGGGGAGAATTGGAGGGCAGACACTGCCGTCTCACACAATGGCTTACAGCCAGTGGACTGGTGCACTAGAGTTAATTGGACAATTCACTGTTTCAAGGCCTGCACCTAATGAGACTAAAGTTTACGATGGTACTGGTGTATTTTCACGTATTACTGATAAACACTTTTTGGAGACACAAGTTACCGTTATGATTCATGGACTCGAAGTATTCAGAATGGAATTTACACACGATTCTAAGGGGAGAATTAATCAGACGAGAACTGACACGAGAAATGTGGGTGTCAATAGTTATACCAATGTGAAGAATTATACATGGGATTCGGATGGACAGTTGACTGGTGTTGAGGCACAAGAGCCCTGGGGTTTCAAGTATGATGGCAATGGTAATATGCTATCGTTGACGTACAGAGGGAATACTATTCCCATGGAGTACAATACCATGGATAGAATCGTCAAATTTGGTGATGGACTGTATAAATATGATAATAGGGGTCAGGTGGTGCAAAATGCTAGGGAGGAGAAATTCAGTTACAATGCCAAGGGTTTATTGATCCGTGCTGCCAAGAAGGGACGTTTCGATGTGCATTATTACTACGATCATTTGGACAGACTTGCTACGAGAAAGGATAATTATGGAAATGTCACACAATTCTTCTATAATAATCAACAGAGACCCTACGAAGTCAGTCAGATATACAGTCCAAGGGATGGCAAGCTCATGTCACTTGTTTATGACGACAGGGGACACTTGATATATGCACAAATTTATCGTCACAAGTATTATATTGCCACTGATCAGTGTGGAACACCTATTATGATATTCAATCAGTATGGCGAGGGCATTCGGGAACTGATGAGGTCACCCTACGGGCACATTGTTTACGACTCCAACCCGTATCTCTATTTGCCTGTCGATTTTTGTGGCGGATTGCTTGATCAGGTTCGTACGAAAATAATTCAATCAAACTGTCACTGGGTACCCAGAATTTACAATGACAATGTTTTATTAATTCGTATATCATTTGTTTGTATTTTTAGGTGACATCATTGGTCCACATGCCCAATGGAAAAGTATACGATCCACTAATTGGACAATGGATGTCACCCCTCTGGGAGAATATTCTTGACAGAGTTCCAACGCCCACTCATCTGCATCTCTACAGATTTAATGGAAATGATCCCATAGACGCTAGACATGCTGATAAATCGAGTCAACCAACAGGTCAGTTTAATCCGAATATTCATAAAATCACGCACAATTAGAGGGATTCTTTTAATGGAGTATGACGTGGGGAAGTGGACATTAACCATTAACGAAAAAAATCTCCATCGCTCTATTTTCAGTCCACAAGCATGAAACTGAATTAAAATTTAATTAAAAATCCATACTTCTTCAATTTCAGATCACATATCGTGGCTGTCTCACCTCGGCTATGACCTGAAGTCCCTCTCCCCCCAGCTGTTCCCCACCGAACTCCCGGACAGCCTTTCGCCGCCGTCTCTCAATCCAACTGGTCTCATCTTTGGGGGAAAGAAGAAAACGAAGAACCTTGGCGTTCAGTCAGGCTTCTTAGCCCACATTGCTGAGCGTCACTCAGGTGATGCTGCAAGTCTCTCAGCCCCTCCCCGATCAGCCCTAAAGAAAGATCTCAGCGAACTAATCCCAAGTCGTCTGGGCGCAGCGTCAGACCCACCATTTGGCCAAGGTATTCTTGTATCTAGAACAGCAGAGGGTCAGGCTGTCGTCTCCAGTGTTCCAGCAGCCAACACAATATATCGTGACGTTTTTACAACCGTATTCAATAGCTCCTACTTCCTGCCATTTACATTCGTCGTTCACAATGCCCAGCAGGATGCATTTTACTTCGTTAAAGAGCAAACCTGGAAATCTGGCCCCGATCATGAGCAATTGAAACGATTAGGGGGTAATGTGAATACAACATTCCACGACAATGAGAATGGCAGCGGTAGTAGTATTGACGTTAAAATACATGGAGCTAGTTACGTGGTAAATTTACGATATGGCACAACGGCGGATAAAGAGAAGCAGAGGCTTCTTCATCATGCTAAGGCAACGGCAATCAGAAAGGCGTGGCACAGAGAGCGCGAGGCATTGAAAGCCAACACGTTAACAATTGTCGATTGGATGGTTGCTGAACAGGACGAAATAACTAAACTGGGTTATGCCTCGAATTACGAGGGTGAATATATCCACGATGCTCAGCTTTATCCAGAGCTGGCTGAGGATCCCTACAACATTAAATTTGTCAAAAAATCAGCGGATCCATCCAATAAAAAACGACGCAGGAGGAGAGGTACACCTGCCTGCAAACTCTGGCGACTCGATGAGTTGTGCTAGAAGTTGTAGATTTTTATAACCGCCGCTGTAACGCGACAAATGGGTGGATTACTGTACACGTACACAAAACCATTGATAAGGATACTATCAAAAAATTTTATACCAAAGTCTATTTGTGTATTTCAAAGATGCCAAAACACTATGAAAATGGAAATAATAACAGAATGATATATTGTAAAAGCCATAGGGTCGTAGCAATTAAGAAATTCTCAAATTCGATGGAGCCATCGTGATAACGAATTTTACGATGAAGAATATTTCGACTGAATTATACTTGAGGTTAATGGGCAATTTATCTTGCACATTGATCTTAAATTATGTAGTTAAATTGTATGGGTAATGTTATTGTAAGTGATGGAGTTGAACATGAGTGAGTGATCATTGAGATCTAGTGTTATCAAAGCTCTCGCTGCCCCGTTAAGACGTAACTGTTTTTGGTGTGTCACAGGGACGATAATGAAAATGTTAAGTGTGAATATGAGGTGATAATGTAGACACAGTTGGTGAAGACGTCCACAGGGTCATTCGTTGCTGAGAGTTCCTGATTATTTGAGTGGCTGAGTGAGTGAAAGAGCCTAGTCAATAAATTAGCTTTACATCGCTGAGGTTGAGGAGGAATATCGAACTCACGAGTGATTGTTACATTGAGACGATAAATTCAAAGTGACAAAGTGATATGTTTTGGTGGGGTTTTGGCTGTTTTTTCAGTTTTGGAGAACTAATGGGGGATGTGGAGATCGGTGCAATGATCTCGTTGATGAATGGTTGGTACATGGCTCGGAAATACGTACAGTGTCGTTCTTCATTGGGACAACTTTTTTGTTGAACATTTGACGAATTGGGATGGGGATAATGAGACCCAAAAGTGAGATGAATGTATGATTTCTTGGAACATCAGGATACTGAACTTTTGGAGGATGATTGATGTTTTTTTATACATATTTCTTGTATTTTTTTTCATTAATATGGAATATTAAATGTATCATAGTGGTGCTTTCCCTCCAGAATCAATGAAAAACTAAATGAGAGACGTTAATTAAATTCTGGAGGTGTCAAAAATAAATGGGAGCTGTATTTTTAACTTAAATCATTAACTGTAAATGTATGAGAGAATTATTATCGGCATTGAAAACCGACAGGCTGATCCAAGGACCGTAATTATGTGATGGATTTCTTCGTTGGTACTTGAAAAAGTACACGAAAGTTGGATAACTGTGCGTATAAAATACACATTAATATTTGTGCTTGCTGGATATGAATTAAAACGAAATGAAAATACAAAAAAAAATCTTAAATACACGAGGATAAAAAATATGTTTCTTCACAAAGAAAAAGACTAAATGTAATATCTATACTGATAAATGTTTTCTGTATGAAAACGTGATTATCCAACAATTTAAATTCCCGTAAACAGATATTAGAGAAGAATAAACATTCGAGATTAATCTTTTTCCTAGTCCCTTTGACCGTCTTTGAGATGAATCTGTTTTTTTTTAATTACGAGAACATGAAAAGTTGATACTCTTTTTTCAAAATACATGAGCATCATTTTGATAACTTCACGGATGAATGGGGAAGTTTTAATGAGGACTTACATGGCGTCCCATTGCAATCTAGATAGTTGCACAATGGACATTCAAAATGTCTCATAGATAAATTACTCATTAAGTGTATTATAATAGCTAATAGGCAAGCTTTATGTATTTTTCAGGGCGAACAATTGCCTAGACGTTTTGGAATATGTAAAAAAGTAAATTCACGAATAATACAACTGAGATAATTTGCGTTATGCTGACAATATCGTAGATCGACTAACCAGATTCTCAATGACGTCTAGATAATTCGTTACGCTGAAATCCAATTATTCGTTCGTCAGCGGGTTTCGACGTACTGGCGTTCAGAGAATCAACTATTTTTTAAAAAATTGAGAAAAAAAGGTAACAAAAAATGTCAAGTGTCAAATTAACATCCCCCAATCACCAACATCACTTTATCGAGGGGAGAAACATTAATATATTAATAACAGAAAAAAAATCGCTTTTCTAACTTCCATGAAGTTTTCTCATCTCCTTTCTTTTTTACGATTTTGTTATTTATTTTTTGATAGAAGAAATGTTTCAATGAATTAAAGTGGGAAAAAATAGGCGAAGAGATGAATTAAAAAATGCTGAATAAGGGGTGGCCTGGTAGCTAGACCCTCGTATATTCAATTATCATGGGAAGAAAGATTAAAGGAGGTTTCAAGCGCGATGCAATGGTTCACGAAAAAAAGGTAAATTCAATGGAAGGAAAAACTGAAAATTACGAGCACAATTTCAGCCATGCTATAGCTACGACCACTACCTAGGGTAGAAAATTATGCTATTTTGCCGCTGATCTAATTGTTTACTGTCACCGTGTTGCTGTAAACCTATCCTATAACGATACGATATATATTTTATTTATATAATATCTAATCAATTGTATTTATTGTAAATAGTCACGATGTTTGCTATGATATAATATATCTGTAATTGGATGGAAAATATGCCTGACATACAAAATGAAAAGATGAGAATCCATGCGACCCTACTAATACCAAATACTCCTGTCCCCTCCTCAAACAGACATACTTGATATTGAAAATAAACTCATTAAATTGGATATTTACAAGTTAACAAACAAAAGAAATAACAAATGGAGATAATGCATGGAATATGCAAACAAATTGTCAATATTTCGTATTTAATATGAGAATTTCGAATTAACTCTAATACTTCATTCAAACGAAAATCATTTTTTTTGCCATTCTCAAACTTTTCTCGATCAAAATTTATTTTCAATTGAAAAATGAAGAAAATAAACATTAATGATAGTCGGTAATTCCATTAAAAACCACTCACAGCCACATTTTTTTGGCACAATGATAAATGGAGTCGAGACCCGATTAAAGAATGTCCAATAATTTACTATATTTATTATTATAAGTGCGATATATTAAGTGTTTTCAGAAAATATATGAATCTATATATGATAATAAAAAAGGGAAAACAGTTTTTAAGACGTTTCGTGTTTTTTCATTCATACTCAAACTCTTTATTATATTTATGTCTTCTTTTTATTCTCACGTTGAACCGTCGTCCGTATAACGGATTGCCCTGAATTTCCTCTTCATTCCCAGTGCAAAGAACAAACTCGCTCCCTCAAAAAAGAGAAGAAAGCATGTTTATGAGGTTTTCTGATGAATTTTGTACCTCGTGTCTTACTGAGATTATGGATACGAATATTGCGGAAACTGCTACTGTGTCAATATGGGATTTTAGCATGAGGTAAGCACTTTTCAGGCAGCCAGCTTCAAAGGCAACACTTCCCGTCATATGGAGGCACTGAAAACGTATTTCAAGGAACACGGAGGAAATACAATTTTAATTAACGGAATTTAATTTTTGGGTCAGTTTTGTTTGCTAGAAGCTTTGAACCTGCTCGATCGATTTGGCACAACAACTCTGGGGTATATCAAGTCGATAGTCATCCCAGTCCTTGTAAGAGCGGATACCGCAGCATTCCAACTATAATAGAGGAGAGGCACCAATAATTCCAGAAGGAATAAACAGTTGTAGTTCGTACGCTGAAGCTGATCCTGCATCTATTTTGGAGGTGGCGAGTTTTGATGTGTAGAAATTATGTTTTGTGGGTCGCTAATTTCGAATTTGTCGGTCATTTTTCCATAAAAGTCGGCATTCTATTTGTTATTTGTAATGTTAGGGTAAATCTCTATTAGAGAAATGTAATAGAAACTCGCCAAAACTAGGAGCGGATGTGACGTATGTCTCATGTTCCCTTTTCTCTCCCTTCTATTGTACGACCATGAGAGAGAAAACACGTTGAATCAGAGATTAGGGGAGGGTAGTGTAAAATGGACACTTTTGACTTTTTTAGAAATATTTACAACTCAGAATCAGATTTGTCAATTTAGCTCAGTCTCTGCTCATCGCAAAGAGGAATCATTGTTCTTCAATTGAAAAATAAAATTTTTCTATTTCATAAACAATTCAACATGTCATGAATATTTCAAAAAAAGTCCAAAGTGTCCGTTTTAGCCTACCCTCCCTTATAATAAATCCACCCACATCATTATTCTAATTATCACATTGAGTTAGAATTATTCTTCATTCCTCTACCCCAGTCCTCACATTATTAATATTTTAATTCTTTGAATCGCCCTAGCACCCGAACTGTGGGAAGTAGACAAAAATTTTCCAATTATAAATTATTTTGAATTTAATAACGTCAATTTCTCATATCTCCGTCAGATTCCGAGATATGTATCTAACACAGTGCTTTCAGGCTCAACGCGCGCCGTGATAAGAAGTAACCGGAGAGCGTAGTGTCGGGTCACGCAACTAGTTTATTGCTCATATCCGCCTATGCGGCCAAATTTTTGCAAGTTTTGATGTGTGGAATTTGTATTTTGTGGGTCACTGATTCCGAATTTGTCGGTTATTTTTTCAAAAAAGTGCCATTTTATTTGTTATTAATATTTTAATTCTTTGAATCGCCCTAGCACCCAAACTGTGGGAAGGAGACAAAAATTTTCTGATTAGAAATTATTTACAATTAAATAAGGAATTATTTTTTGTTCTTTTGTCAAATTCTCATATCTTGTTTAGATTCCGAGATATGAGCATTAAAATAGTTGCGCGACCTAACACAGTGCTTTCAGGCCCAACGGACGCCGGCAGCAGAAGTAACAGGAGGGCGCTGTGTCGGATCACACAACTGGTTTATTGCTCATATCTCGGGGTCCACAAAAGATACGTGAAATTGGTAAAATATACAAATTATTCCTTATTAATTCCTAAATAATTTATCAGAAACAATAACTTCCTCCCGATCTTAATGGAGGAGAAGTTATTGTAATTATCCCGAAAATCAAAAGTGAAACCTTTATGATTCGTCGACGTTTCATGACCCCTAGAATCATCGAATTAAAAAATTTTTTTTTGTCTCCCATAGCTTGAGTGCTAGGACGATTTAAACAATTAAATTGTTAATGAAAATGGAATGCCGGATTAGTTTAAAAAAATAAAAAAATTCAGACTCAGTTATCCAAAAAACATGAAATCTCTAAATCATAATTCGCAGACTCCAAAATTGACACTGGATCAACTTCAGCATATGGGCTATTGTTAAGGGGTAACAGAAGGCCGCCGTTTCCTCGAAATTCCCAAACAAATTTCCTGCTCAATCTTATTAATATTATTTAAACCCAAAACACATTGATCTTTATCATCGCCTCCTGGAGATTAATGTGCTTCGATTTGTGAAAATATCGACAACTTTATGCAGGAAATTTGTTTGAAAATTTGGAAAATTAGTGGCATTCCGTTACCCCTTAAGGGTATCATGGCGGGGTCAGGGGAAATTTGGAAAAAGCAGACAATCAAATGAAAATGATTTAACACATTATTTAAACCATTTAAGAACCGTGTGCAAAATGTCAAGAACTCATTTTCACAATAACAATGGAGGTAATTTCTGGAATTGCTACTCAGAGATAGGCATAATCATAAATTATCATTACCATTAATTTCATAAATACTCAATCAAGTAATAGAACTTAACAATTTTCAATTATTAAATTAATCAACAATTAAATATTTAAATTCTGAATTATTTTACTAATCAATAATCGAATTCGAAAGAATGATGATTATTTGATAATCTCTAATATTTTTTAGAAAATTTCCAATTATTTACATAATAGTTATTTCAAAAATTTAAATTCTCGATTATTTATTATTTCGAAGTCCCAATGGTAAACGAATGAATTCTGTTATTTTGGGAAAAAAATTCTTTTAATATTTCTGGAATAATGATTGATGCCGATCGCTGTTGCTACTTATACACACAGTTGAATAGGGCGTCGATAATTTTAGCGTTTTCCCTCCATCATCCCTTAAGGGGAGACGGAACCACTTTGTCTACATCAAATCTTAGAATTGTGTTTTCTCCTACAATTATTAATTTCTATCTATGAAATTACTTTATCGACTCGATTATCGCATTGTTGAGTCAATGAAGTAGTTTAATGAATAAAAAATAATAATTGCAGGAGAAAACACAATTCTAAAGATTCATATAAACGCAGGGGTTCCGTTTCCCCTTAAGAGATAACGTGGGAAAGATACTGAGCTTCTCGATGCCTCATTCAAACGCGCGTAAAATTAGCAACTTTGGATTTTTTTCCCATTGTTATTGTGCACCTGGGGTTTTTTATATTAAGCATCTGGTTCTAAACGGATTGAATAATGTGTTGAAAATTTTCATTTAATTCTTTGTTTTTGCGGATCCCGTCATAATACTCTGAAAATAAGGAATATTGTGATTAGTTTAAGATCAAGCTTGAAGACGTTTAAAAGCAGAAATGAGGCATCCAGGAGTAAGGGAATTTTACTCTAGATTAAAAAAGAAAAGGTTTGGTCATAACATTTTTCGAGAGGACTAAACACACTCTGAATTTAATGAATGCGATCTCGTCTTTTTTGCAATTTAGAATAAAATGTCCCAGCCCTTCTCATGATACCATTTGCAACTGTTATTATTATAAGATACGAAAAAGATATCCAAGGATCATTTATATTTTCGTCTAGACCACACTGGAAATTATCAGATTTTTAATCATCAAAAGTGTGAATTAAAATTTCGAAAAATCTATGGATACACAGCAAAAGCGAATGCCTGAATTTCACACACATTTTTATAGACATTTTTCAGACGTTTTTTAGTGTCTGAAAAATGTATAAAAAAGGTGTATTCAGACATTCGTTTTTGCTGTATAATAAAAAATTATTTGAACTTTTGAGAACTCTAATTCAATTGCAAAGTGATAAAACTAAGTCGAGTTTGACTATTGGTCAGTTTTCAATGAATATATCTAGGAATCTAAAATGCATAGCAAAATTTTTGTTTTACCCTTTTTTGTAGAACTCATTAAGAGTTACAAAAAATGTCATTACAAAAATTTCGCTATCCTTCTTAGATTCGGAGATATACCTCGAAAACCCGACTAAGATCCAAGTCGACTTCAATAGTTTCACTGCTTCGCTACTGAATATTGGACAAACGCGTTACGATTCAAATAAAATGACTATCCGAATGAACAGTTCATTGCTCAGAAGAATGTCGACAGATGAGATGACCAAGGTACTTGGAATATCTTTAATTTGTGAAAGAAATTCTCTCTTCTAACAAAATTTCGAGAACAATAATTGTTATACGTATTGTTGTGTATTGTCCCAGGCCTCCGTAACCCAATCCAACGATCGATACTTAATCATCGTGCTCTTCATATCATCATGAATTTTATTCGTAATACGATCGAAGAAAGAAGAGCTCAATATCGAGGTGAAGAAAATCGTTGTTAACAACAGGGCGTGACAAATAATATACTAAAAAACATAAAACCACTCAATTTAACTCAGAGACACTCGAATGAAACAAAGTGAGACTACTATGAGTTTCAGAGGTCGCGGGCTATTGGAATGAGATTTCTCATACATTGAAGATCGATTATATATGTCTAAAACCGAATAATTAGTGCAAAAAAAATGGTTTATTGATCGTTTGCCTTGCAGACGCTTAAAATAGGGGAGGTTGGGGTAAAACGGACACTTTTGACTTTTTTTTAATGTTAATGAGGGGTTGAAATGTTGATAAAATTTAATATATATTTTTTTCAATACAAAAAACAATTCTTCCCCTTTGCGACGAGCCTAAACTGAGCTCAATTGATAAATTTGTTTCTGAGTTATAAATAATTTTAAAAAAGTCTGAAGTGTCCATTTTACCCCACCGTCCCTATTCAAAATACCCCAAGGCCTCCAATTTTTTGGCTATCAAGTTTTTTTTTCAAAATTAAAAAATGTGTGCAATAACAATTATGAAATAGTTTTTTTGAAATTCAACTCCCACACAAATAATTTTGTTATTTTTTAAATAAACAATTGCAACATTCATGTAAAATAGCCCGAAAAAATTTTCTGAAAAAATCGAGAATATATGTTAAATATTTTAAAGATAATTTTTCTGCATAGTTTACATGAATGGCGCAAATTTTTACATTAAACAAAGCGAAATTAGTTCTGTAGGAGTTGAATTTCAAAAACCTAATTCGTAGTTGTTATTGTACACATTTTTTCCAAAATTTTGACAAAAAACCTCTGTAGCTTAAAAATTGGAGGTCCTGGAGTACTTTTAACATTTCAAGCATCGGCGGGCAAACGAACAATAAACAATCAATTTTTTTGCAATAATTATTCGTTTTTAGAGATATATAATCGACCTTCAATGCATGAAAAATCTCGCTCCAATAGCCCGTGACTTTTAAAACTCATAGTAGTCGTCCCTCAAACAAAATCATTACATACTATATTCATCAACTTCCTCCGTCTCTTTACAAAGGCGAAAATTCCAATCGATGAAACGCAACTCGAGAACATTCCAATAATGAGAAGAATGGAGACAAACAGCTTTTGTCCCGTTAATCTCAGCATCAATTTACTATCCGAAAGCATCCACACGGAAATTATCATCGCGGAAATTCCTGCGAACTGATACTATGGATAATAAAAATCCTGCGGTTACGCAAATCAACACAACTTACAAAAGTGCCAGTATTTAGCGTAAGAAACGAGAACTTGAGGCACTTTCTCGGCAGTCTGTTGTAAGACAGTTTGTATAGCGGTATCCCAAGGAGTTGAACCTTCTTGCTAGCTGCAGTGGAGGCCTCGCTCTCTGTAACCTCATCATCGACGGTCTCAGTCTCCGTTTCCTCGTCATTCGTGCTTTCCCCACGTCCCATAATATTTTTCGAAAAATATAATCATACTCTCCACTCCATCCACCGGAACAAAACCACAGAGACAATTCCCTCAAACAGCATTAACCAATTTGTTCCATGTAAATTTGACAGAAAGAGAATAAAAGAAAAAAAATTGACTGCTAAAAACAGTCATGCTCAACTTTCTTCAAACAGCATTGAATGTGAATTTTATTCACTGGATAATTGAAGTATCGCTCGGCGAAAGGCAGAGACCCAACCGGTGGAAAAGTGTTTTCTGCTGTCTCACATTATTACAATTAACTTTCCTCCGTTACGTGCAGACTAGTCACTTAATCACGCCAGCTAATTCACCACAATGAACATTTGGAAGAGAAATGAAATTAAATAAACCACTCATGGTGTCTCACATCGAGGGAGCTGCACGGCTTTTATAAAACTCAATTGCCATCGAATCAAGGTGGATCCGTTATTCCCCCCTCAAACTCAATTTCCAACAATTAGAGAACAATCAATTTGTAATAAAGGTTAATCTCGATCGTTATTGGACAATTTGATTAAGCCAGAGTTTTATTTCCGAGAAATTGGGATCAATTGGCCGTTGTTATTTTTTTCACTACTGTCTCTGCAAAACCAAATTTGCCACTCAATTACGGAAGAGTGATAATCAATACTAACGCTATCATATATGTATCATTGATGTAATATCTAATCGACTACATTGTTGATTGTAAATATTCACGATGATTGCTATGATATAATACGTCTGTAATTAAGTGAAAATTCATGAAACACGAGTAACATTGCTGAAAACTCTTTAAATTGGACATTTGCACGTTAACAACCTAAATTAAAAACAAGTAGAGATACTGCATGGGACACACAAATAAATAATGAACATATTTAATATGTGAGGTACGAATTAACATTAATACTTTATTCGAACGAAAATCATGCCTTTGGCATTCTCCAATCAATACTCGACGCTTCGCGCCTCGTGTCTAATTCAGCCGGTTTCAGGCTTCGTGACATAAAATTTTGTTCAGTACTTGTTGGGAAATTTCGTCCTTAACGTGTGTGGTTACATCACTCGCCTTCGGCTCATGCTGTAAACCCCACACACGTTAAAGACGATATTGCCCCATATGTGCTGAAATATACTATTTCGAAACCGTTTAGTGTGTGTAAAGTGGTTGTTTTACGCACAACCCGGGTAGAAATCACGCCGCTCGAGCTCGGCTCGGAACCCGTATCCCAGCTAGAAATACGCCACTCCGCCCCAGCTTGGGATAAACTCCGCGCGCGTCACATGTACCCGAGGTTGAGCCGCGTCACGCGCTCACAGCCCAGCGTTAGACTATTACGCGAAACGCTTCGCCGGGCTTTAGTTGAATGGCCACTGCTCAACCTCAGGTTCATCTCCAATTACTCAATCCTAGTATACTTAACCTCAATAATGATTTGACAGATCCGATGGCATCGTGATTTGAGCGAAAAAACAATTGAATAAATGTGAAGATGGCATGCTTTTTCAGATGAACAATCACAAGCTCATCAGAAATAACGTGATATTAACTAATCGAATGGGATTAATCTGAAAATACAAGGTAGAACAATTCACTGAAACGTAGTCAAAACTTTCTTTTTTCTCGCGAATACAACAAACAAAATCAAGAAAAATAATCACTTGAAAAACGTTAACG